GTCTAGCCGATAAACATGCAAAAGAAAACGCAAAGGAGAGAGAAGAATGTCTTACAGCCAAACGTGCTAAAGAAATGAACCGCCGACACAACTTACGAGCGCGCGAGACTGACCCATGTAAAAATAAATCATGAAATTTTCGATTAATTTTGATTTTTTGTAAAAAATCACAAAAAATCGATTAAATACGACATTTTTCGATTAATTTTGAGAAAATAATTGATTTTAATCGATTTTCTTTGACTAAATCGATTTCAATCGATTTTATCTCAAGAAATTCAAATAATCGATTAGAAATCTAATCGATTTTAATCGGTTTTTTATGGCAATAACTTTCATCGATTAAAATCGATTTTTTTCCAAGAAATTGAAATAATTGATTAGAAATATAATAGATTTTAATCGATTTTTTATGGCAATAACTTTAATCGATTAAAATCCATTTTTTTCCAAGAAATTCAAATAATTGATTAGAAATCTAATAGATTTTAATCGATTTTTCATGATGATAACTTTAATCGATTAAAATAGATTTCGTTCTAAGAAATTGAAATAATTGATTACAAATCTAATAGATTTCAATCGATTTTTTATGATGATAGTTTTAATCGATTAAAATCGATTTTTTTTCCAAGAAATTGAAATAATTGATTAGAAATCTAATAGATTTTAATCGATTTTTTTATAGCGACAACTTTAATCGATTAAAATCGATTTTTCTCCAAGAAATTCAAATAATCGATTAGAAATCTAATAGATTTTAATCGATTTTCTACGATGATAACTTTAATCGGTTAAAATTGATTTTTTTCTAAGAAATTCAAATAATTGATTAGAAATCTAATCGATTTTAATCGGTTTTTTATGGCAATAACTTTCATCGATTAAATAAAATATAGGCCGATATTAGGCGATTTCGATCGGTCAGATAGGTTTCGACCGGTCAGACCGGTTTGGACCGGTAAATAGTGGTCGACCGGTCGATAAAAATCCAGACCGGTACCGGTTCCATCTTTGCTATGTGCTATAGAATGATGAGCAGTATATGGGTCCTTATGACATTAAGGCTCAATGAAAATTAGACTTCCTATATACCATTCGATGCGCCTTTAAATTCTCTACAAAACCATATACAGGACATTCTTGTTCTAACTAGGTGACAAAAACCGACAGGGTCCTTTAATAGATTTTAATCAATTTTTTATGAAGATAACTGTAATCGATTAATTAAAATCGATTGTATTTCAAGAAATGCAAATAATCGATTAGAAATTTAATAGATTTTAATCGATTTTTTATAAAAATAACTTTAATCGATTAAAATTGATTATAGTTCTATGAATGCTGATTTTTTATAGAAAAAAATTGATTATAATCAATTATTTTTTTTGCAATCGATTTTAATCGATTTTTGAATGTAATTGCGCAATTTCGAAGAAAACAACTTAAATAGGACTTCCAAACATATTTTGAATGCCGAAGTTTGGTGCATCGGCAACTTCATAGTTTCTAAATACGAGAAATAAGAAGAAGTGGTCGAAAAATATGGGTTTTGTGTTCGAATCTCGAGTAAGTCACAAATTTTCGCGGTTTCATAAGAAAATAGATTAAAATCGATTATCTGAACAAAATCGATTAAAATCAGTTAGTAAGTAATAATAGATTAAAATCAATTAGTAAGTAATAATAGATTAAAACCGATTAACAAATGATGAGGGATTAAAATCGATTAACAGGTAATGAGAGATTTAAATGGATGATTCAGTTGAAGTAATGCACGCAGATAAAAAGTAAAGAGTCATATGAGCACAGTTAACAGATGCGAAGAAATTAACGATGATTATAATCGGACGATTTTCATCTGATTTCCTTCCAATTAAAAATCAAAATAAAATTGATTTTAATGGATTATTCTGTAGAAAATCGATTAAAATCAGTTGTTTTTTGATTTTTAATTTGATTAAAATCCGATGAAAATCGTCTCATTTTAATCGATTTTTAATCAAAAAAAAATTGATTAAAATCTTGATTTTTTACGACTTTTTTTTACATGGGGATGCGGAGCGAAATACTAGATTAGAACGTGATCGTGATCAACATCGGTAAGACTCATAGTTTCTTTGTTTTTTCTACCAAACATTCCTTTCTTTTCGACTCATAGGGCGAAAACACGTGCGAAAAATGATTCAAATATGGCAACTGACCGAAATTGCGCTGTATGCGGCTATAAAATCCTGACTCAAAATTGGTCACAATTAACTATCAGATCGTTTCCGAATCTGCATCTTCTTCGACCTCAGAACGACGAGATATCGAATTCTGTTTTGAAAATTAATTTTTCACGATTTACCAGTAAGGATCTTTATTGATCGGAAATCATCATTTTGAAACGTTTTCTAACTCAAAATAGGCTATGTTCGACAAATGTTAGAAACTTTCTCTGGTTTCGATGTTCTCGTGAATGGAGCACTGTTAGGACGATGCGGGATCGATACGAAAACTGGATTGATAGTTGTGTGCAGTGGTTGCCAGACCTCTTTACAAAACAATGCTACGCCTGCGTCGGCTTTGAGCCGCCTATACTCTCCAGATGATGTTTTGGATGAAGAATAACTTTTGTACCGTAGATAAAATTGACGTTGGTTAATGTTTTTAACCTGTTCTAACATAAAGACGAAACATCTCTGTATTTAAATCTAAATTCCTTTTCAGTTGGTCACTTAATAATATCCTAACTATGAACGGTAGAAAGACTTCATGGTTTCCATGAATGCCATCAGTGCTCAAAAACCGAGCTACGAAAGCTTAGTAATTAGTTCTTTTTAAATTTCTTCTTTCAAAATCTCCAGTTCTTTGGTCATTCAAATATATTCAACACTCAACAGTCTACGGTAAAGTGAATCTGCATTCGATGAATATTATTTCTTTTTTTACAACTTTTAGATATTTATGTTTCTGTTCTTTGTAGTTCTGACTTCTTAACTTTAAATTGCTTTTATTTTGAACTGATTTCTAATTATGAAGTTTAAAAACACTCGGCTTTTCTCTTGTAGCACATCTTTGGATTTCAGCGAGAGATGTACCCTTTGATAGTCTCATTTACATATCTAGTCACATCACATTTCATCGCCTTTTAGTCTAGGGATGAGTGAATCGGAATCCGATGAACGTTACTTGTTCATCTTTGCAAACGTTTATTCCCTAGACTGAAAGGCTAGGGTCTAGAAACCGAAATTCACCTGTGTCTGTCTGTCGGTAACGCGGTCAAAATGGCCATTTTTTTGGCACATGTGACCATTTTTTTGGCACAAACGACCACGTAACTATGGCACAGGTGACCATATAGCAACCATGGTACAAATGACCAAATACTAATTATGGTCAAAATGGCCATTGTAACTATGGTACAAATGACCATTTGGTTCAAATGCCCACAGTAACTGTGGTACAATTGCCCATAGTAACAATGGTACAAATGGCTAAAAATAATAACTATGGTCAAAATCGCCATAGTGATCGTGGTAATAGTGATGATAGTAACACCATGATCAAAAAATCGACTTGGTAATTATAGTACAAATGATCATACGATAATAAAAATTTATTCTTGTTAATAATGTGATATATAAATAAACGAAATAAAATTCTTTTTTTTTGTGCAAACAGCGCCAATACATAAATAAAAATTATAAAAATACACTAATATTTATTATTTGAAAAATGAACAACGATATGAATGCAAACAAATCGCCGCATAAACGTAGTTTCTTCTTCGATACCCGAGAGGAACGATTACAACAGCTGGAGATGATCTTAAGTACGTAATGTAATCTCAGAGGATAAAAATTATGAGTAAAATTTTATTAAGTCAATAACTTTTTCGAAAAGCTATTTGATTATCCCTTTTGATCAACTTACTGATATGCTTGAAACTTGTTACAAGTTTATGAAAAAGTATCTTTGCTGGAAGCTTAAACTTGACAAGAAGTTTTGTATAATTTCTGGCGAAACTTTCACGGAAGAATATATCGAAGAAAAAATGGATGTATCTTATGCTTATTTTGCAGCTGATTGGAAATGCATCCATTAGAGTGAGAATTCTCCAAATTAAGTTTTCTGGTCGCCTAAGATATACTGGTCATATTATCAATTTTTGCGTATTATTTTGTTAATGTAGCTTTTTATGCTGTTACATACGTACATGCATTCTATCAGTCTAGGGCTAAGTGAATCGCTTGACGATGAACGTTACTTGTTGATGATTGTGTTGATAAACATAAATAAAATTGTTCATCACTATACGGTAAAGTGTATATATGAACATCACGATAGTTACCGTAACCAATACTTGGAAGATGATGATGATCACAATTAACAAACTATTGTTTTTCTTTTAACCAGAATGAAGTTCGAAATCTTGCTAATATTTGTTTTATATTTGTATCATATAAACGTGGATGAATTTTAAAATGGAATTTTTTTAATTCTGGCAAATATGTACGAATTAGATGTTCCCTTTGTTCACCACGAATAAATTTTATTCCTTTTGCTGCAATAAATGTAAACTTTTTTAATTTCGGAATCCAAAGAAACAATACTTTGATATCATTAAATGTTATGTTTGATTTTTCGGCAAGTTCAATTTTTAATTGATGAATTTCTGTGCTTATGATTGGCGGAAGAAAAGTGTTGTCCATAGGAGTAATATCAGCAATTAATTGAACATCTAATTTTGTTAAGATGGATGTACACAATAGTATTTGTTGTAACTGACTCATTGAGCATATGCCAAATGATAAATATTTTAGTGATGGTACTGCTATTTTAGACATTAAACCATGTTTAAGTTTAATTGATAAATAAGATAATACCGTCTTTTCTGTAATGCAGAAAAAGAGATTAGCCCGATTGATTGAGGCAGAGTAGGGATACTCACTTTTCTCATTGTTGAGATATTCATTGGACATTCGTAAACAACCCGTTTGATTGGAACAACTCTAGGCCAATACATATCGATAGTACAGCTCTTGGGTAATTCGATTTGGATTCTATTTCAAACAATATTTGCACATCTGAAAACAGCAATTGAAGGAAAATGTTTGAGATAAGTACGTTGCTTGCGAAGAAACTTTTTTGAGTCTTTTCAAATATCGGAGATATAAACTCTACCACAAAAACAATACATCGAAGTGTAGACATTCATCTCCTATGCCTTCAATAGAGATAGATAGATCTAAACCCACACAGAACAGTTAGTTAATTATCTCATGTGTTTTTACCACTTCTCAGTATGTGCGCTCACAGTTCTACGATTCAGAGTCGTCAGGGTTATCTTACATACATTTTCTCAGTGTAGATCATTTCAGCAGATTTAG